CAACAATAAAGGGAACACCAGAATTTACGAGGTTCGGCTAATTTTGCCTACTCCTCGGACACAACCAATATTTTATTTCACTCCAAAAATACAAGTGAAATAATACTAAAGAGAGAAGATACAAATGTCTTAAACAGATGAAAAGGTAAATGAGAGGTGTTTTTAAATTCTAAACATTAGGCCTTCTTTTATAGGGGGAAAATCCCCCCAAAATTCAAGAACCCACCGATGTGGGACAAATTTGCCAAACTTCAACAGACAAACCGCACCAACTCGATAATCCGAGTCAAATCGAGAAAAAACCCGATTATGGTTTGGTTTGATTTGATTTGGTTTGGTGTGGAAAAAATAATCCGACCATAATTGGTTTGGTTTGGTTTTAACTAAAGAAAGTCAAACCGAAACCAAACCAACCCGACATTACATCTATAGAAATTTTAGATATATTTAATATCATATAAATATACTTATTGTGATGTAATTTATTAATATTTCTTAATTTTTTTTATAATTTTATCTTTTAAGGTATTATTTCAAGGTTTGACCTAAAACTTTTGAATGTTCCAATAAATTTTATAGCCATTAATATCAGGACATTAAATAATGCTAACAAAAGTCGAAACCAAAATCAAATCAATACTAATGTTAACAAAAGACATTCAGTTCAATACTACGAATGGAATGTATTGAATATCTATTTTTTGTTTTGCAATAATTTAAATAAAAATGCATAACCTATTTTTATTTTTTCTTTAGCGTTTAGTCCTGTAATTAATACTCCCTTATTAGTACTTATTTTAGCATGAATACATTTAAATTATGTTTATTTTTATTATAATTTTTTAATTAGCAATATTTATGTTACATAATTTTATTATCTTTATTGTTGAATATTTTAGGATAATGCCATGACACATCTTTTATTTTGTATTAATTTCTTGGAAAATACTTTATATGGTTGTATCTTACTAGGATTAAAGAAATATTTTGAGCACAAATTATATGTTTTGTTCTACGAAAATTTTACCAGAAAAAAAATACGAAAAAACCTGAATAACCCGAGAAAAATCGAGATTGAAAAACCCTAGTTTTACTGGTTTGGTTTGTTCTTTAGATTTAATAACCCGACACAATTGGTTTGATTTGGTAATTGTAAGATCCGAACCAACCCGACCTATGTATAACACTATATGTGTGTTTAGATTTAATTTATAAATATTCTTTGTAAAAAAACATTTTAAAATTACATACATTGACGGAAAATAATAAAATTATAATATTATTTTTTATATGAAAACGAGAAAATAATATCGAAAAACAAAAAGCATCAACTATTTTGGAACGAAGAAATATATTATTAGTACAAACAACAACAACAACAACAATAATAACAATAATAAACCTAATGTACTCCCAAAGGGGGAAGAAATATATTATTCGTAGAAAAATAAAATTGGGGAACACGATTTATTATTTATTTTATTTATGTCATAGTTCACATATCTGTCACCTTATTATAAGTAGGATACTTGACAAACACAATTACGTAATCCATCACTTCATCTCTTGAAATGACACTCCCCATGTTTGTGAAGCTGCAAGACACAAGTGGGGGAAATGTAAATAATAATAATAATAATAATAATAATAATAATAATAATAATAATAATAATAATAATAATAATAATAATAATAATAATAATTAATTGAGAAAGACAATTGTCTAATAATTCCGACCTTAAAAGCATTGATTATGTATAAAATTTCACAAGACTATCGACCAAATAGAATAGTCATGCTTTCCTAAGAATTCATGAGAAAACATGCACCAATAAAAATGATGTATTTTGACAATTATGTATTCGACAAAATTACGTGTTATCCATACAAAAATATAAATACCAGAATTAAAAAAAAAAACAAAGAAAAACTACGTCTAACCTGTACGAGAAAGTCCCCAATTTTGATCCCCTGCAACGTGCCATGCAAAATAACCAAGCAATCCTCTACCTTTAACATAATTAACCTTATTTCTAACAGTTTGAGTATCATCATAGCTAATCCAATTACTACCAGAGTAACAATAATCTCCAACAATGGTAGCGTTATACACAGTCGTGGCGCGACTCTCCACTATATAATCCCTAATTCTGTTATAAGTCATCGACCCATCATCGACCGCACCAACATTTGATTTTCCGGCAGCAGGTGCTCTAAGACCGTGAATATTCGCGTTAACTAATCGCCACGCATAGCCATAAAATGGAATTCCAAGCACCAATTTTTTTGTTGGAACACCAGCTTGAATCCATGCATTAATTCCATCACTTCCACTAACATGGTTCACAGGATCAAATAATTGTGCATGTGAATTGGTTTGTGATGGTGACCAATTTGGTCCATAGAAATCATAGGCCATAAGGTTAATCCAGTCTAAGTTTCTTGCCAATGATTCAACTGGGTAGTTCAACCCATTGACTCGGGGTGAGTTGGAAACCGCCGCCGTGAGAAGTAGTGCCGCCCTACCGGAATTTCTCGCCTCCGTGTTGATAGCGGTGCGCCACTCATTCAAAAGGGTCCCTGTTTAATTAACAGGTAAGTAAATAAAAGTGTACTCTTCAACAGTTTAAATTGTTAGCTAGATGGAGTGATTACACAATTCATATTGTATGGTATCATAGTAGACATATGGATATAATGAGCAGGTTTAACGAAACCTATCAGTTGTTATGAGATGATGGGGGCCTGCTTGGCCAATCGCCATCATATTATGATCAGTTTTTTGAACTTGTCAATATAATCGAGTGATTCTCTGAGGGATCTTTCCCCCTTTCAGATTATATATAACTGTGAGGAGAGTGAAAAAAATTGTTATTATTTTCGAAAATATCATAGACCCATAATTTGCAAAAGTTACATATAATGTGTCTAGTATCAAGAACCTAGTATTGCAGTCAGAGATATGATAATTAAGTAAATAAAAATATATTATGTGTATAATAATTTCTAATTTCAAATACTGTTGTCACATAATTCAATATAATATCTGAACAGACAGATGAGAGTTCAAATATCACAACTAGTGATGGCAAAATGGTTAAAAGAAAATAGTTAACCACCCATATTATCCACTAAAAATGGGTTGGATAATGAACTTTTTAAAAACGGGTCAAATATAAATAAGAATCATATTATCCATTTGGAAAATGGATAATCAATGGATAACTAATGAGTTTAACTTTTGCATTTATAAAGCTTCAAATTGGGGGTAAGTTTGGGAAAATAGAAATTCTCCCAAAAGGGATCATATTCAAGAAGTCATGGACCGGTTTATTATCCGTATTAAATATGAATCGGGTCGGATACTTTATCCATTTTTTCATTATCCATTTTCAATCCATCCCATATCCGACACGACCCGCCCGATTGCCTCTCCTAAATTCACAACTAGCTATATTTGTCCAAAAATAAATTCATGTAAGGGCCATCCATATGTGTAAAACAAATGAAGAAAATATATGTTTGTCAATAATACCTAAGTTTGTCATGTCTGCAGCTGATAATGGATATTCCCAATCAAGATCAAGGCCATGAAATCCTAATTGTCTAGCCAATCTTATTGATGAATCAATAAAACTTTTTCTTGAATTTGGTTGTCTAGCCATAATTCCATAGGCAGTTGAATTAGCTCTTCCTCCAGCTATAGACAAGAAAGTCTTGACCGAAGGATTTTTCCTTTGAACTGTACTTGTAAATTGCCTGAATGAATCTTGATTTTCCGGCGAAATAATTAACTGATTTAATTGAGGATTAAGATCGGCAAATGCACAAAATAGATGAGTGAAAAGTGTTGAATCTATGTTGTTTAATGCTAATCCACTGTCCTTAAACCAGTATCCTCCCTTAACATTTTGGCTATTTGTGCAAACTAGTTGCTGGAGGAGGAAACATGAGAAAATAATGGCGAAAAGAGTGACAGAATTAGCCATTAAATTGAAGGTTGATAGCTTATTTAATTTGTGACTTCGAGTTTAAATAAGTTTGAAGATTTGAGTTTACTGTCTACCGGCGGCTTTTAGTTTGCGATACATTTACTACTCCATTAGAAAGTGGTTGAATCTCTCAATATTTCTAAATAGAGAAAAGGTCAAAATTTTCCTGTATATCCTTCAGAATTGTGCAATTTTATCATCCGTTACACTTTTGGTTTATATATATATTTTTGTTAGCAAATCGTCTTGTATGTGTTCTTGTTATTAACGGAACAACGGGTATTCCGGTGACTAAGCTCCAGCTACAAGCGAAGTTCGGAAAGGGCCGGACCACAAGGATCTGTTGTACGCAACCTTACCTGCAAGAGACTATTTTCATGACTTGAACTGCTACCTGATGACTTGAACTGCGACCTGATGACTAGTTACGTCAAAATTATTAACAGAGCTCCAACATAAAATTACTGGACTTGAGTTACTCCACGTGTCCAAATTTTTCGAACAAAGATTCAAATCTACCCCTGGGCTTTCGATTATGGATAGTAAATAATCTCAAATTAGTGGATTCCATTCTTATCCCTTGATGGATTATTTCCAGCCGCCTAGTCTTATCCCTTTTTTCACGTTATGATGGAAAATTGAGAGTTTTGTTGCCGGTCTTGCATGGTTTCTTATGAAAATAGGGTAGAATTTAGCAATTTTTTGACTTATAGAGTTATAGATTATAGATATCGGCTTTGCTTGAAGCTCCACGTCTTGTAGCCTTTCCTTTTCGACTAAAGCTGGTTTTAACAAGCTTTTTTATGGCCAAAAATACATTTTTTTTTAAATTGAAGTGTTTGACTAAGTTTTTAAATGATTTTTTTTTGCTTTTGACTAGAAGTAGAAATAGTTTTGGAAAAGCAGAAAAAAGTAGTTTTTTCCCAAAAGTTATTTTTTAAAAAGCACTTTTGAGAAAAATACACTTAAAAACACTTTTTAGAAACTTGACAAAACACTAATTGCTGCTCAGAAATACTTTTAATTAATTAGTCAAAATCAAACTACTTTTCACCAATAATACTTTTGAAAAAAAAAAATATTTTTAAGAAAAAAAATACTTTTCAAGATAAGCTAAGATAATTTTAGAAGGTTGGCTAAACATGTTATAAGGCTCTCAGTAAACTAAACTAATGTGGAGAAATAGGCCATGATGATGACATAAATTATCAATCCGATTTTCATGATTTGGCTCAATCCAACAGCAAGTCCCATGTAATCAGTTTGATCATAATGATGAAACGTATGCATTCTGTATGGCAATTTACAAAGTTTAAACTTACAGAAAAGGCTCAAATATACCATTAAATTCTTTTTACTATATAGAAGAGAAAGAATTTCGACATGTGTGCTTCAGGTCAATATATATAAAATTAAGGGTATATTGGACTTTTCAACTATTAACTTTACGACGTTTTGATTTCTCTTCGTATCTTGGTTCTCATTGTTCTTCAATTTGATATGGTCTTTCATCGCTCTTTTCAGCGTCTGAAGAAATGCTTCAATTTCTGCAGTAACCCTTCTCATCAGTTTTTTCATTCTTGGTCTTCTCTTCGCATGCGATTTTGTTGCTAAAAATTCCTGGAGTATTATTGAAAATTTTCGATTAATTTTTCTATTTAGATATGTCTATGGACGCCCCAGATGGAAAAGAGGTTAAGGGAAGCCGAAGGCCGGATACGCGTTGCTCTCGATCTCAAAGCCGGTCTTCATCCTCTCAAGGTTTCTCTTTCATTATTCTCTCTCTTTTTTGTTTTTTAATTTGTACTCCTTTCTATTAAGTATTCATCAAGTGCGTGTGGAATCGAAAATTTATTTTTCTCCTGGACAGCTTTGCGAATTTTTTTTGCAAGTATTTGTTGATTTGTTCTGCACATAAGTAGGCATTTGTTTTATTTTTCATAATATACGGTGTTGCTTTTTGCAATTCAATAAACTCTTTACTTTGTGGCTACTTTCTTGAATTTTGGGAGTTGGCGAGGTCAAGCTTATGTAAATATGACTGTTAATAATCCAAAAAAAATTGTCCTCTAGCAATTTTGACTAGAGGAGGAGATTGTATGACCTCGGCGAAAGAATTTAATGAGAATGCAGATGGAATGAATGCTAATAATTAGAAGAAAGATTAGTTATCCTTAAGCATACAAGAAAGTGCAGCAACATTGGAACTCTTTGAATAGTGGTAGTTTCTGAAATGGAATTGGTGATTTCTTATTGAGGACCATATATATATGAATTATCCAATGGGTGGAGTTAATCAAATGAGGGGATTTAACTCCAGTGCCTAAAGAGATGGGACAAAATATACCATTCCTAAGTCCAAACAGAACTTGGAAAACTGCTGTTACTACAGAGGATGACTCATAAGTCATTATAGGTTAGGTGGCAATCAATTCAAGAATTAATCTCTCTTATTAGTTCTTTTTCTCTTACTCCTTTGGATTTAAAAATAGAGTTTCTCAGTCATGTGTGGTTGGCCTTTTGCCAAACCTATCAAGATAATACTTCCCTGCATAAGATGGTCCAAAAGTTAGTGAAGTCCTTGAGGAGAACTGATACAGAGCCCGTTTGGATTGACTTAAAAAAGTGGCTTTTAAGCATGATGCTTAAAAACACTTTTTAAGTACTGGAGCTTATTTTATAAATAAACAGTTACGTGTTTGGATAAAAGTGCTTAAGCTGAAAAAAAATTATTGAAGTGTTTGGTAAATAAGTGCTGGTAAGCACATTTTTTCTGTTAAAATGACTAAAATATCCTTAAAGTTGTAGTATGTTATTTTTGGAGACTTTCCTTCAAAAAAATTGGAAAAAAATATTTGTGTTTAGATGAGTTTTCATTTGAAGTTACTATATTTAGTGCTATATATTTGTTTCAACTTTTTCAAATATTTTGTATTTTAGTATTTGTACAAAACAAACAATTATGACATTGTTTGTTTGACAATATAAAAGAAACGAATTTCAAGAAAATAATTATTAGTAAATATACCATCAAACCAGGAGGAGTAAAATAAAAATGCTGATTATTTACGTGAGAAGAAATCATGAAAATAAAATCAGAGCACAAAAATTAAAAAATAGGGAAAGGCAACAAAAGATATGCCATAGAAATGACACTAGAAATGGTTGACAAAAATGGGAACAATGAAGGGAGAAGAAGGAAAAGAATGTTTGGGCTTTTAGCTTCGAAGGGTTTTGGGAAAATAAAAGATTATTAGGGATAAAGGAGTAAATTAAATGGTTAAACCCAACCAGTTTTTAAGCTATAAAAAATAAGTTGAGATTCACTAACTTGTTGTTTTTAGCTTGTTTAGGCTTAAAATCACTTGGCTTAAAAACTATTTTTAAAGTTACCAAACACTCCAACCAGCTAAAAAGTGTTTTTAAACTTATTTGACCAGCTTTTAACCCAATCCAAAAGCCTTGATAGTTTTTCACTGTAAATTGCTAGACAGTTCTTGCTAGCTTGTACTTTCGTAGTAGCTTGTAGCCTTGTACGATGCTTAGCAGGAGTTTGCCAGGTGCCATCTTATGCAGCTACTTTTCTAGATGGTTATCTAGCATATACGAAAATTGTCAGGCACCATAAAACATATTGGGTAAAAGCTTAATGTTCATAAAAACCCGAAAAATCGAACCAAATCGAAAATCAAACCGATCAAAAAAATCGATACTTTTTGGTTTGGTTTGATTTTGGTTTTGAATTTTAAAAACCGATCAAATTAGGTTTGGTTTTGATTTTAATCCGAAAAAAAACCGAACCAAACCGACTATAGGATTAGCTATTTCAAATTTATTATTACATTTATATAAATGTATATTTTTATACAAAGTTTCAAAAAATTTATGGTAAATGTTAATAGTTTGCACTTTTAGTATAGTTCTTTACCTTTACATTCTAGTTTGATCGGTAGTTTTCTTTTGTTAAGTGTAAGAATCCATTTCGTATTAAAAATAATATATTTTTAATTGAGTCCTTAGAATATTCATCACTATTTGATTAAATTATCATCAATATATCTTGGTAAATAATAGATTTCTCAAAGGGCAATTGATTTGATAGTGTTACATTGAAAATGTGGTCGCCGGAATATGTGTTTGGTAGTGTATGTCTTATATTATATTTAAGAAAAAACCAACAAATAACCGAAAATTCGACAAAACCCGACATAAACCGAATCGAGGAAAAACCGACTTAATTGATTTGGTTTGGTTCTAATATTTGAAAAATCGATTTACTTGATTTGGTTTCTTTTTAGGAAAAATCCGATCCAAAACGAACCATGAACACCCCTAGTTCTTGATAATTTTGTAAGGAAAACTGCTGTTACTACTGAGCTTTCTTCAAAGTAGTGCCACACGCTATTGAGAAGTCATTTGTTTGTTACCCAAAAAGAAAGCTATAAACGGAAAATGTGCATACCTCATTTTTCTCTTTTATTCATTTTTTCATCAAACAAAGATTGGGATAAACACGCAATAAGCCTTCAAGGGGGTTGCAATCCCCTGTTCAGGATAATAATTGCTTGTTCTTTAAAGTCAGATAACAGAATTTTTGCTAAAAACATAAAATCGATAATATTAAAATGTTTAAGATTTTAATTGGAGATGAATTTTGCAACCACTAACACTTGCAAAACTGTCGTTAAATTTTGGAGTTGCTGAAGTCTTTACAACTAATTGCGCATGATATGGTAAAAATTTATGTCCTTGAAACTTCAATTGACGGGGAGAACATTGTCCTGTAGAAATTTGAATGGTTAAAGTTTGGAATATCTATTAGTGTATTGATGTGGGTGCAAGAATATAGCTACGCTTCTCATATTTGATCAAACAAAATATAGAGATTCCACACTCATGCAGCGCTTATTATAGCTACGCAGAACAATTGATTTTGGATCAGTAGACCAATTCGAAGGTGCATTTGTCAACAATGATCAAAATGGAGAAGGGGTATGTCCTGACTTATATTTCATACACAGATCTGACTGATGTTCATACGCACAAGGAAGAAGATTCTCATTAAAAATGTTCGAGTTCATTTTTCTTTTATTGGGATTAAAAAACTGAAGACCGACAAATCTTATGCCATAGAAGCGGACAAGAACAACAATAACAACAACCCAGTAAAATTCTACTAGTGGGGTCTGGGGAGGGTAGTGNATTGAAGTCAATTTTACAACTGGTGAAAATATTTCATCAAAGTCAATTCCCTTTTTCTGTAGGAATCCTTTGACTACTAACCGGGCTTTGTGTTTCACCACCTTTCCGCTGCCATCTTTCTTCAGCTTGAATACTCATTTACTCTTCAGTACCTTCTTTCCTTGTGGAAGTTTCACAATCTCATAAGTGTT